TTTTACTTTTTAGAAGGTTTGTATTTTTTCTGTTTTCTTTTCAAATGATGAAACAGTATTGGAAATCTATCATTTGGTGGAGGATTATTATGCTTCAAATATTAGCAAAACAGATTAGCAGTTACATTGTTTTCGAGAACAAATCTTCTTTTTATTGAATTTTGACTGCTCGTGTCAGAAATTTGAATCCCTGAATTCTTCGTACAGACTATGAATATATGTGTACAGTTAAAAAAAATTACTTCAGTTTATAAAAAAGTGCCTATTTTTTCTATTTATTAACACTTATCATGGTTATGTACCAGTAGTAGAATTTAGTTACCTAATAATGCATGATGGAATATTTTGCAAACACTTTTGCCGACATCAAGTAATCAAAATCATGCATGAGAAATAAAACAATTTGGTAATACAAATTGTATTGTGTAATATTAAATCAGCCCATTCTGATATAAAGCTAATAATTTTCATCAATAATAGCAATCTATTTCTTGTTTTTAAATCCTACTCCTGTTTGGTAATCAGTAGAATCATCAACTAAAGGATGGATTGAATTACACATTGTATTGACGAACTCGTTTATAAATGCGTGATAAATGTCGCACGTATTTAATAAGGTTTTCTATAAAGTTGATGAACCAGGGCTATGTCAAAGAACGTATCGTCCTTTTTCTAAAAAAGTTCATCGGAAGATACCAAGACCTTGTTGATAAATATTCAGTATCAACTTCACAAATAATACATGATTGTCTTGAAGTATAGATTATACGTACTGACGTTGTTTTGTTTATCATCTTAATTACTTGTTAAAGTGTTCTTTTATTTGTCTTTGTAATTTATTAACCTTTACTGTTTAGTCCATTTTTGTTAATATCCTTTTGGTTTAGCTCGGTAGTTATACATCCCGCCATTGTGTTATCGTGCATGGTCATTTGTTTTTTGTATTCTTGTCTTTCATTTTTGCTTGTGTGCTTTGTCTTTATGCCATTTTGTTTGGCATTTGACGTGCGATGATGTTTGTACAATCTAGATGACATTGTAGATTTTACTAATTTTCTATATAGCCTGATTCAAATTTACACTCGTGTATTTTTTAACCACTGAGACGAAATGATTTATATTAAAAATCAACAGATAGTAAAACCCTTTTAGTAATAGTAGAATTGTTGGAGATCCTTCACTACAAACATTTAGTGATATGAAATAAAGATATGTGGTATGATTGCCAACGAGACAATTTTCCACCAAAAAGCCAAATGACGTATATAATAGCAACACTATGTCACTGTCTGGCCTTCAATAATGACCAAACAAATACAGCATAACAAGCTATAAAAGTCTCCAGCATTACAAGATGTAAAATCAAATCAAACGAGAAAACTAACGGCCTGAAATATGCACAAAACAACAGAAGCAAATACAAATATGATTTACAGCAACAACCGACATACTGAATGAATAGCTTCTGACTTGGAACGGGTATATACCGCATGTGGTGGGGTTAAACTCTTTGTCGGTGCCCAAGTATCCCACGAAAACAAAAAACAAAGACAATAAAGACACAAAGACCCGATATAAGAGTACTTGAAGATACTGAAAGCTAGTTGAAAGCTAATAACAATTAATAAAAAAGATCATGAATCCAAAACAGAAGAAAGTTGCTTTCTATCTATTACAGTTTTAAAGATAAAATAAAATATAATAAAACGTATCATGAAGACTTGACTCCTAAAAGTAATTTGTGTTGACACTGTTGTGATTGAAAGTGGCATTTGGGGGCAATAATAACTGTACAGGCGTCTTATCAATTTGATAGATATGTGAAGTATGGTAATGTTGACATTTGCGTTGCTATATTTGTCAATTTTTCTTTCATTCAAATGGTTTAAAAGATAGTTGACTACTACTGTCATTCTTTCTTAATGCCTTATTTTTAGTCATGTTGTTCATGATCATTGGTAGGTAGGAAAGTTGAAAACATTTTTTGGGCAGATATATATACATATATTCATAGGATCATTCAGAACAACAAGAACTCCACCCAAAACCGGGGAAGATCTCAACTACCCCGGAAGGATAAACATATCCTGCTCCATATGTGGCATCTATCGTGTTTCACATGCAAGTACAAACCCGGTGATAAGTCTTTTATGGTAGGTCTGTTTTAAGCTTTTGCGTAATTCCCCAAAATTCTTTCCTTTACTACGTGTTGTAGAAATACGTGAATCGAACAAGGACAGTATTGCCCACACCATGTTGTTGTCAAAGCAGTAAAACGACAAAATTGTGTAATATGCAAAAAATATAATTTGAAATTCATTGCTAATTTCGAGTCCTACTTACATGTTTTATGAATGATAAATTTTGAAATACAATAGAGCTGTTCTTTCTTAACATACAGAATGACATATCTGTATACTCTTTTAAACTGGATACCCTAAAGTTCAGAAACAATCCCTCTGAAGAACGATTTATATATAGCAAGCTCAATAAGTTTAATTTTAGAATTCAAAGATTTGATTTTGCAGCCAAATATGGATTGGAAAATATTGTTAAGAGATATACCCTACCAGTACCAATCAATTGGATTCTTAAAAAATCCTAGCAATCTAATACTAAATCTTCATCATCATTATAAATTTTGAAACAATATCAAAACTTTTGATTTTTTCCACGCTCTAAATCCCTTTTTATTATGCTCAATTGAAACATCGGCTTCGTCTATTTTCATCTTTTTTATATACTTATGAAAGTATCCTTTTTCTATTAAATAGAAAATCGTAGAAACTAATTTCCTGTTTACGGTCCCAAAGTCTTACTATGCGACGATTCACACTCATTCCATCATAAAATACACCAGATATAACAACATACATATTTAAGATTTAACGATTTTGTGCTAAGACCTGTCTTGACATATTTCACATGACTAAATTCCAATGACGGATGATGAATACATAGCATGAAACAATTACTTTTTGCGATGCCGACGCACCCATTGTTGCTAGCTATAAAACCAGGATTAATCCACCATGTTCTACATTAGAAAATGCCTGTACCAAGTCAGGAATATGACAGTTGTTATCCATTCGTTTGATGTGTTTGAGCTTTTGATTTTGCCATTTGATTAGTGACTTTCCGTTTTGAATTTTCCTCGGAGTTCGGTATTTTTGTGATTTTTCTTTTGATTCTCATTCATTTTTTTCAGATGTAAATGTATTTCTTATAATTTCTGAGAAAAAGACCAAATCACGAAACAAAAACATTGTCCAATGAACCGTGAAATTTAAATCAAGGTCAGATAAAACCTAAAATTCGGACATGTACATATTTTAATCATTTCATACATCAAATATAGTTGACATAATACTTATGCTTTCTAAGATACGGACTTTACCACGTAAATTTAATCTTGATCATTGATCCATGAAATGAGGTCGAGGTTAGGTGAACCCTACCTGACGGACATGTAGACATTGTATTCCATTCTCAATGTTATTGCAAGGAACCCATATACCAAATATAGTTATTCTCATAATAAGGTATTTCACTTGACCAAAAAATAGAAATTTGGTTTCAAGCAGTCTTTAAATCATGAAAATGAGGTCAAGGACAATGGACATATGACAGACGGAAACTTGGTAACATAAGGCATCTTTATACAAGTTACGAATCATCCAGGTAACTTTTTGAAATATAAAGCTTCATACAAATATTTAACACCGTCACCGGATCGTAGTCGCCGCGTCGCAGTCGAGACACAAAATCATAAATCTCATACTATAAACCCTAAGGATCATTTAAACCAAGTTTGGTTTGAAATTGGTTCATTTGTTTAAGGAGAAGATCTTTGAAAAAGTTGATGATGAAAAACAATGCACAGGTGAGCTAAAAATTGACAAGCCACTGAATAAAACATAAAACATGAGAATCTTATATTTCCCGTCAAATTTATGGGAGTTAATGCAACAGCTCTGGAGTGGAACCAGAAAAATCCTAGAGGGTCACCTAAGGTTCTGAAGAGCAGTATAAATACATCCTAGTATACTGAGAGGATGTCACCAAAGGTCCAAAGAGCAAAATGAATGCATGCTATCAACTAAGAGAGTGTCACCAAATGTTCTGAAGAGCAGTATAAATGCATTCTTTTTATACTGAGAGGTTCACCAAATATTCTGAAGAGCAGTATAAATACATCCTTTTATACTTAGAGGGTGTCACCAAATGTTCTGAAGAGCAGTATAAATGGATTCTATTATACTGATAACCCAACACTAAAGGTTAATATAGTATCTGAGACATAACACTGTTACAGTTTGGAACTTCATGAATTTTAGACATAACTACCTGTTAGGTATTAAACATAAGGCCAAAGATTCAACACATGCAATGAATAAAAGAGAATTTGACCATGACGAGATGTATACACATATTCACCAGGTGTCCCAACTTTCTAATGAATTTTCATAACATGATAGTCTGTCATTTTTGTCATTTGTTTATTGTTTGTCTTAAACAATGCAGTTGGTTTTCTTGTTTGAATTGTTTCACATTTTGTAATGAAAGACTCTTTTCAAGCTGACTATACAGCATGGCGAATTAGGTTGTTCTCATTGTTAAATGCTGTACGGTAACCTTTTGTTACTTACATGCACATAATTAGGACTTTGGTGGATAGTTGTCGCAAACCACATTTCCATATGTATTAATCATGACACTTTTAAATCCAGGCACGGCTAATCATTTGGCCCTGGATTTGCCAGAAAAATTTCAACAACTTCCTACAGTTGGAAAAAGGGTCATTGCAGCTTTTTCCGATGTGACCTTACTTCTACTTCTTGACACAAATACATACAAATTTATAATTATCTCACTTGAGGCTCTGTCATTTAATTCTCCTCTGAAACTAGAAGTATATCAATTACCTTATATGTAAAACCATAAATTTGGCATATGAAAATTCTTATTTGATTTGATTTACTAAGACCAAACATACTTACACTGAGTATTACAACATTGTTTCGTTGAATAAACTGTTCCGTCTTTATCGTCTAGCAGTGTTGTCTGATTATATATAAAACAAAACCTGCTTTCAAAATGAATACTTTTACAATTATGACTGTCAAGACAATACTGCTCACAGGCTTCAATAGATATTTGCCTTGGGTCTTCACCCCATTGAGAATCCTTTCCAGATTTGTTTGGCTGACGAATCATTTCACAAGAAGTATCTAAAAAAGCAAAGAAAAACTCAAAATTTCATCACAAATGCTTTTTGACACAAAAGTACAAGTATTGCTCGTCTCTCCCTGTCTAAGTTACAAAGGAAAACAGCTATTATATATAAATAATACACAGCTTAAAGGGTGGTAGAGCAGACTGTGTCCCCGATAAAACATTATGAACCGAGTCCAATGTTGACAATGTTTATTCGAGGGGTAACAATCGGCTCTATCACCCTCTCAGCTATGTGTTATTTTATTTATTGTACTGAATGTTCTTTCATTATTGTTTTTTAAATTATAAATTGAAAGTAATTAACTGTGACGTCTTGTACATAACAACGTTCCGATGAGAAAGTTATGAGGCTAAAACATATAATTTGAGCATCATCATTAAAATAATTGATACAAATTCAATTCATTGTTCTTAGAATAATCGATTTTTTTCTATTTTGATTGGTCGGCACGAGAGGATGACATTTAAAAAATTGTGCTTAGCCATGGGAGAGTAAATTTATCTCACTCATATTAGCCAATCAAAATCTGGCATTTTAACGTGAAATATAATAAAACAATTAGCTACCATGGTTCTGAATCAAAAACATTGCAAAAATTATGCATAATTTTGATATAAAGAACAGAGTTTTAATGTCCCCAGCGTTGCACATATATGTCATATGTCCAAGGGCAATTACCATACCTGTCAACTGAGTCCAAGGATCTGGAAATTTTCCGAAGTCATTTCGGTCATTTTGCAGACTGATATTATGTAATCAGGATGCTCAACAATGCACTTTTCTGATGATGAAGTTGAACTGACCAATATTTTCCAGTTGTGACCCCGGAATTAACCGGCTCACCCGATATTTCAGTATCAGTTCTTATTTTAAAATTTTTCCTCCGAAATAAAAATGTGACGTTAAATTTGAACTTATTTTCTGTTCAAGGTTGTTAAATAACAGGAGTTTGTCACCCCATTGATGTACAAGTCACTAACCTACTAATTATTTCATTATAGCATACAGAGGTGTCAATTTTAAAGGAAATAGCCAAGACATTCTTAAAATTGTGTTAGGCGAAAAAATTGATAATTTATGACAAGTGCATGAGTAAATCCGCTTTTAAACATTATTAATCTTATAATTTTAAATTAAATGTTCGTAAAAGTAATCCCAAATCTGAATTAAACCATTAAATATCTCTTTTTTATGACTTAAAAACGTAAACGTGCTCCTAAATCCTCCCCCCCCCCCCCCCCTCCCCCCTTCCCCCCTCAATAATCCATGTTATTAAAATGACAGGACAAAGCTGCATTTCTTCTTATTTTTCAGTATATTCCTCGTCTAATATATAGGAGCACCTGGGAATCAGGTGAAAATACCATCTAGTTATAAAAATACATTCTCCACCAGTATTCGTAAATGACATAAACGCCTAAAGTCCTGTAAAAATTAAAACTGTCATGGATCTTTAAAAACTTTATATTAATTTCTCCAAACATTAAGGGGAACACCTCTTGGCTGTAACTGTATAGATAGAAACCCTCAATTTTATCAAAACCTCTTAATTATGAATCTGAAATTGTCACAATAAATGAAAGGTATTGAATTAATGATTTGATGAATTACTAGAATATTCAAACTAGTGTAAGTTGCAACAATGTGTCATAAGTATGCTGTTAGTGATATTTTAAAATTATTAAATAAAACAATGAATCAAGTGAATATGAAAAACTAATATAAAATTCAGTTGAAAAAAGTGTGTACTTGTTACGACCTGATATTTTTTACATAGCTCCTGACCAGCATTTCCACTTTCAGAGGTTGACAGGTCAACAACTTAAAAAATGTTTGTTCTTTAAAATTTTCAAAAATAGTTGATCGCCACTGATTTGAAATTGTCTGAGACAATTTTGATATAAATTTGAATAAAGAATTATACAGGCGGAAGATATTTTATATTTCAAAGGGCAATAACTAAGAAAAAAATGTTATTTTTTAAAACTTGCAAAAATTATTGGTCTGCAGTGATTTTTGAAATCATCAGAGACATTGCTAATATAAACCTTCAATATCAATTTTATAGAAATCTGGCAATTGTACACGTTACCATGCAACTTTCCATATGATTAATATTAACAAGAAGCATAACTCTTTTGAAAACAGTTTATCTGTACCGATTTTGGAACTTGTCTCAGACATTGCTGATAAAAAACTTTGATATAAATTTCATAATAATCTGAGAATTGTACAGCATGTAAGATTGCTTACAATACAGTTTCCTATTTTATTAATATTTCCAAGGTGCTGATGTAAACCTATTGGGATACATTTCTTAAAAATCTTGCAAGAATTTTACATGTGAGAGCGCTACAGATTAGACTGACAGACAGATGCCCGGTATTTCTATGTTCCTTCCAGCGTGCTGCGTGATGGACAAAAAACATAAGCAATAGTGGCTGCCATCTTTCAAAAACTAAGAAAGATTGTGATCAGGTTTAATCCAGATCCACTGGGAGAATTTTCTACACAAATGGTAAAGCAATTAAAGGTTAGTTACCTGGTTACCCTAATATAAGTATTTAATGATTTCTTAATTTTTTGGTAGATCACTTCTTTATGATATTTTTTTCTATATCAATTATGAGTATAAGATGATTGCAATCACAGAGCTAGGTCGCTCCGAGATATAAGATTGCCTTTGTTTCAATTGATATTAGTGTTCTAACTTAAAAAATAACTTGTGTTGTAACATTTTTATACTTTTTGGTATTTTTACTTACCACACACGTGCGTTTCCCTTACTGTGTCCATAATAATTCTTATTTATTATATGTTATGGTGATGTCTCTGGACACCTCAAATTGTACAAACGTTTTAAAATTCTGATACCACCACTGTGTAAGTTTTACTTGATAGAAATTTTGTATTTCCTTTCCGAGAAAGTACATTTGTCATCATTATTTTACCAACAATTATAATTAATTTATCTGTAAATGAACTTCGTAACCAAGAACAAAGAATATTTATTATATCATATTTATATCATAACTATTTTTGTTGCTGGACGTAATTCATTTGTGTTACTAATGGACCGATATGGAACGACATCACTGCCTTATAGTCTAGCTGATTCGTTCATTTTTTTAATAGAATTGTGTGTTTGATGATAAAAGCATGACACTTTCCACAATTGTAGACATATATTTGGTATTTAATTTAAGCTATGGATCCACTCTGAAAAATTCAAGATGGCGGCCATTTTCAAGATGTCTGCCAATCAGTCCAAATTTTGCAACCATGTATAAATTAAATCAAATAATATTCAAACCAAATCTTTTAAAAACATATAAAATGTAATCCAACGTTTCTAGTAAGTAATGACGTTATAGTAGTCATCGATTTTTTCTTCAAAATATCCGCCAAAAAGTGAAAATGAACAAAACTGAGACAAGACTTTGTTGATATTTATTTCTTTCATCGAATTCAACTTTACAGTTCATACAATATTCTATCGATTGCGTTTTCATGATACAATGATGCTGCTTACAGGACAATTTAATCAAAGATCCAATAAAATGGATACATTTGAACAATTTTGAGGACGCCATCAGAATTTGTATGACCGTTAAGTACCATCTGAGTCACAAATGATAATGGATATGTTCCACTTCTCCTTGCCACAATCCTTTCTTTATCAACGTTTGTGGTAACATCAGGATGATAAATAAATGCGATTAATCACCGAATTTCTACTGTCGATGAGTTACATCACAAGTGCTATCAGTTGTCCTGAAACTACACACCATTCCGAACACCTGCGTTGACCCCTAGTTTTGATAAAAGAGGACTCGTGTTGTTTATGCTTTCAACGTTGTGTTATTTGCTCTTTATTTATCAATTTCTGTGTTGCCAACCAGTGAAATCTTGTTTATCCATCGTACAAGCATGGAAAACCTTATTTCATTTTAAACGTTCTCATTCGGTCAAGTTTTAGATAATTTACATGTACCAATGGTTTCTGCATGTCTTATCTTTTGTGATGTTAAGGGTTAGAAAAAGGAATTTATGAATCAACTATTATATGATATATGGCTAATTACTTGATATGGTTCATCAATCTATTTCAACAAGTGCACCTATGTAAATGTCACTTGTTGAACAGGAAGTGCTGACCCTTCTTGAGCCCATGAAATCACCCCCGGTTTTTATTGGGGTTGGTGTTGGTCAATTTTTTATTTTTGTGTAGTGATTTGTGTTATTATTTTTTTGCGTTTTTTATCCATGTTCGTATCTGGTTTGATTTTACTGATAATTTTTGAATGCCTAAGTACCTTTGCCATCTATTTCTTCATCGGTCTAAACAACAACATATTTTCTAAGCAGTTTTCAAAATGTTTCATAAGGACAGCCAATTCATTGTTTACCCCACTACCCACAACATTTTAAACATGACCTACATAACATCATTGTCCTGGCGCATTTTATCTACCGTGACATCCGTTTTATATCTGTCAATCATATTGTATTACCTCATTACAAAATGCTGATACCTTTGTGATAAATGTCCAATAAGGTATATGCCATCTGTATTCACTCCAAATAGCACTCTGCGTAAAAGGCCAGAAGAGTTAAATGGAATAATATCGTGCACGGGTACTGGAAACCATAATTTTGATAGAAAATACAAAGAATCAATGAATAAGCAGTATTATGGAATCTTTATACACCTAGCAGAAACATTATCTTAATGATCTCACATCAAAATGTCCATTTCAATCTTTAATGATACAAACCAATCTTTAATGTTACAAACAAGTTGTGGTTAAGTAAACTGTCAATTTCCCCTTTACTATTCCATTCTTGGACTGTTACAAAGTTCTCACCAGGGACACGTTCTTCAGTAAAATTATGTTATGATCTTTTCTTAAGAATGAGAAGTACACCTACTGTAACCTCATGGTAATGTACTGCTCATGATGCATGAAAGCATCTAAAAAGAATCTGCCA